GTGACTCACCTTCGCGCCCCATCGATCAAACAACGCGCCGAAAGGTGTTCCCATACAGTACAGACTGTCATTGATCGTTCACGTATCGACACGCACGCCAGAATCGGCAAAGACGTACGAGAACGTCTGGAATGCGCCAATCCACGAAATTCCTGACGAAGACATACTAGAGAGCTGGTTGACCGCATAGTAGCTCTGGAATCTGAGCCAAAGATGGAGCAAGTCGGTCAGTGGTGAATGAGACCCTGAATGAGCTACTGCCGACATACACTGTACGCAACATGAAGTTAAGCGAAAGCGGCCAGTAGGGAACTCACCTCCAAATGTATTCAAGAAACCGAAGGACACGAGCACAGCGAGCCAAGCACCAAACGCGACGGTCCAAGCTTCGCGGCCGCCTTCGGGGAATGGGGGAGTCTTTGCCACGCTGACTTCGCCAGCTTTCTCGTCGGAGGCGGTCACGGTAGCCTGTGAGCTCTGCTGCTGCTGCTCGATGTCTGACATAGCGGAAGGGATGCACGATGTGGGAATTGACAGCGACCGTGTTGATTTACTACTTAGAGCTTGTCGCAAAACCACGCCCACGTAAACTCTCACACACCGGTCAGATGCCGATCGCAGGCAGACCCGGCTTCGGACTGTCCAGTCATCCGTTCTGACTATTATCTTGCTTCAAGTAACCTTCTCCTCCGTCAATGCGTACCTTTTTCGGTTGAGATGATGTGGGCACGGTCCGCGTAAACGAGCTTACAGTGATCAAACCACACGCGATTGCATAATCAGTCTTAGTCTAGGGACTTTGTTTTGGAGGCGTTGCCTTGATATCTATCCTGGTATCCAGTTTGCGCGGATTTCAATAGCACGCTCTGATCGCATAAAAAAACAATGTGTTGTATTATTTCAATAAAACCATGTTGAATGTTGAATCGAGACGATGGTCACAAAACTTGAACCACGGTCGCTGATGCTCTCTAGAACAAAACCTAACCGATTGCATGCTCGGCAGAGCTCAAGGTAGTAAGTACCCAGACCGCTCAGTTCTGAGACTCAATCGTGGTTATGAGTCCACGTGATCGTTCCTAGATTGAGAGTTCGGCGCATTCCAATGGGTCAATGATGAGGTAAGATGAATTTGTCGACCAAGTTCGTTCCATCTACACAACACGCTCATCAAACTCAACAGACCATATATGCCTTCATCTCTATCAATCTCTATTTCAATTTAGTGGACATTCTCGGTCGGATTCCGTCAAGTACGGCTTGGCGGGCGCGATTACCACTGCTGATACTATGCTCTTCCTCAACGAGCACGTGACTTTGAGACCCTGGACGCCCAAGATCGAAAGCGGAATTCCAGAGCACCTGATGTCAATTTCCAAGAGGGAACACTGGTATAGTCGGCGAGCCGGGCATGCATTCCCAGTTGCGAGCCACTTAGGCTAGGGGGCGACGCGGCCACGTGACGTGATCCAGCTGTGACTTCCTTTCGCGCGACACGTGTGGTAGCCAAGTTCACTGGATAGAAGTGGCGTTTCTGCAAATTCACTAGGCTCTATGGGTAAATATGAATATTCGGAGGATCGAGAAAGCCTTTTCACGCACCCAAAGCACCGGAATCGAAGCTCGGAGGTCTCAAAGCGCGCTTTGAGAGCAATGCCGAAATACTTATAACGCAACACATGAAAATTCCTCGATTCGAAGGCATCTTGAACGATGCCAACCGCAGAAGCGCTCAGCTCTGTATCGCATCCCTCGGCGTCGGAACAGACGACGTAAATTCCGGTCGTTCTGGGCCAAATACTTCTGATCACGTTGCCACTGGTCGTGTTACACGTCTGGAGATTCCTGGTCTTGCCCTAGATGACGGGGAGACAAGCTGCGTTCGAAACGAGGCAGTTCGGGCAGCATGCCAAGCTTCAGGGTGATGCAAGCTCGCGGTGACACGCAGAGTTCTTTGCTGGGGGCTGATGATGAGATACAGACCATCATGCTTTGATTGTCGGATGATTTCGGCATTACATTGATGAGGTCTCGGAGATAAGCTACTGATGTACAGGACTGTAACGATGCTGAGATACCCGAAGCAACGACGACGATCTAATTACATGTTGGGGCGTATAGAGTTGCTATATGATACAAAACAATGCGAAGAAAGGATAGTTACAGTGATGCCGCAGGCAGGCACATTATACCAGTCAGTAATCAGATACATTAGTCTATATTCTTCAAAGGAAGATCTGCGCCGGTGCACAGGCGTCTTTGAGTTTCTTCAAGTGCATGTCCATGAGCGGAAAGGGAAACAGGCGCATAGCAGCGACGACGATGCCAATCGCCTCGACCAGGCTCTGCGTATCGCCGCTTTCGGCGCGCCGGCGCGTGATCTCGGAAACGATCACCTGCGCGGCGGAAGCCCATAATGGCTGCAGCAGGTCTCAATAAGAGAACAAGCCCAGGGAGTAGAACACGCACAGCAAGAATGGGATCGATCACACCAAGTTGCGGCAGATCTGCTTTGACCAGTAGCTCGACAATCGACCGGGTAGCAGCGAGAACGCGACCGCGTGCCTGGGAATGCCTATCGCTCAAGGCCTCGAACAGCTTGATAGTCGCCGAGTATACGAGAGTATGAATTACCAGTCCGTCTCTCGACTGAACGGGGGGCAGCGTCGATCCGAAGGCCTCGATGGTGCGGGAAAGGGAGGACACTGATGTATCGGAGGGAAGAACTGCGCCTGCTCGCACTCGGGCTCCGATCTGCGCACTCAAGTCAAGCAGTATCGACGCTTTAGCTCTCAACGCGGGGATCGACGAGGACGGGCACGGCCGTTCAGTGAGAAAGCGAGGAACCGTGTCGGCATTCTGCGCAGGCAGGAGATGTTGATTCTACAGCTCAAATGGTCAATTATCCGTGAACTTCCTGACCACGAGTGACGACTCGCCTGCATATAATCACCCGGCTCAAGCGGCCACGGCGTATCAACGATCAGCGCGGCCGCGCCCGACGAAGGCGAAAATTTGAACAAGACCACATTCGGCTCCATCGCACCGCAGCCAGCCCAGCACCCGCCCAGCGCAACGGCGCTCCAGAACGCGCTGATACGCTCACCCTCCTCCAACGCGCCGACCTCTCCGAGCGCCAAGCCGCCCTGCGCAGCGCGGCCCCGGATGCGATTCAGCCCGGCGCTCAGCGCGGTGGCAATCGCCACGGACGTGTGGTACCGCGCCTCCAGCCGGCGGGCGGTGCGGAAGAAGTACACCGCGAGCAGGACCGACGCCTGGATGCTGTACACGACTGTGCGCGGGTGGGCGCCGCTGAGGCCGCTTGCGGTGCTTTTCAGCGCGTGTGCGAGGAAGGCTGGCTCATACGCTGTGATGCGCGGATCGTTCGAGAGGTGTACGCCCCAGAGATACATCACGTTCAGCAGGATCTGCGGCAGGTCTTGCGCCGAGGGACTGGTGATGGCATCATGAAACGTCTGTGCGTCGAGGAAGAAGCCGAAGCAGCTTGCGTTATGGAGGAAGTTGTGGACACTAGAAGATGATATGAGTCTAGTTCAATGTCACGCCACGAGAGACCGGTTTGACTTACAGCGCTTGGAGCACAATGAAGGGCAAATCCGTTGGCATAGCCTGCAGCACTTGTTGATCGACGACATTTCCAGAGATCTGCTGATTGACTGAACGGAAATGCTGTCAGAGAACAAAGCTGTTTAATGAGGTCCACAATGAACATACAGAAATAAGAAAGCAAGGGCCCAAGTTGCATTGTATTCGTGGGCGATATTTGCCTAGATTGTTGTTGTGTGGAGGCTGGCTGCTCCAATTCATTGATCCTGGCCTGCAGAATCGCGATTTGTTCTACCAGAAATTAAAATCAACTTCAGGATCTGAAACCAGCGATGCAAACACGTCACCTTCGAGGACATGCGTGCTGAGAGGACCGTCTCCCCCGTACTCACAGTCGCTGAAAGCTTTGTATCGAGTGCAAGGCCCGCACTTGGGTTGCGCTCCATCGCATTTCTATCGGAAACAGAGTGATCAGGGACCAAGACAACCTAACGAGAAAACACCGGGAAGACGCACGATCTTCCTGCGGCGGCAGTTCAAACACGCCTTGCCTTTGGGCAGCGCGGCGAACGAGTTGGCGGCGAAGACTCCCTGGACGCTCATTGTAGATATCAATCAGTCCAAGACCAAATAGGTGGTAGTAAGTGTATAGTCTAGAATGTGGGCTTTGCTTTGAGTGAGGTAGCAGTCATCACTCTGTCTTTAACCCGACCAGTATCTCCCACCCACCGACTCGGAGTCGACTCACCATCCTCGGCGTCTTTGTCAGTTTTGATGGAGAAGAGCACAGTCAGCGAGTCCTAAACAGGGATGGGCGCAGAACCGGCATTCCGCAGCCGCAGTGACGCTCAAAGGGCGCTTGATTGCCTGCTTGCTTACCTGAGTCAGGTTCGCATTGACGTGCTGGCCAGACGTCGGTCCATCAGCGGCGCCGCGTAGGCATCTGCGGGCTCAGCAGTATCGAATTCGAGCGGGAGCTTGCGGGCTATACACGCGCATAACCTGAGCAGAAATCGGACCGAACGCATCCTCTACGTCCTAAGAACGCGGATGACCGTCAGAGGAGACCGCAATCAAGCGCGCCGCCGAGCGCAGAGTTCCCACAGGACGACGCGCGTCATGCTGCCGGATCTGGTGCGTGGCAAGAAGACCACGGAGCTCGGGTGGTCTGCGGGCGAGATCGCTGAATGATTGATAAGGCTTCATAGGATGTCCCGTTAATGGTGGAAGAGAGCCTGCAAAAGTCCCCAGGGGCTGTGCTGCTGATAAAACAACTTGCTTTTCCGGGTCAGTGAGAACCCGGATGCCAGGCACGTGCGACTTGCGTCACAAAAGGATCCGTTCCTGATCCTTGCTGCCTGGATCTTCGAGTCATGGATGACATGGGTAGTGAAACCCTCCGCGGAACTCTCGCGGTAGTCCAAGCACTCCACTACGCTTTATAATTGCTGCCCCACCGATCTCTGTACGCGTCCCTCTGTCATCATGCAAGTCGTTCTTATCACTGGCTGCTCGAGCGGTCTTGGACGGGAGCTCGCCCTCGGTCCGTCCAGATTCTGATGACCCAGACGCGTCTTCTGGTCATCTCATTCACTGCTCGCGCACAGCTGCCCTGAACGCAGGAATGCGCGTGATCGCGACTGCGCGCCGGATCGACACCCTCTCAGACCTCGCAAGCCGCGGCGCGAAAGTGCTTCCCCTCGACACCACCGCGTCCCCGCGCGACTTGGCCCAGTTCGTGGAACTCGCGATTGGGCAGTAGTACGTCATGCTGGTCCCCTCTCCCGCGCTCGTCAGGCTGCTGACATCCGCCTCCAGCGGACAGATCCACTGCCTCATCAACAACGCGGGATATCTCCAGGGCGGCGCGCTCGAAGAGATCGGCCACGCGGCCAACATGGCCCAGTTCGACACGAACTTCTTCGGGGTCCTGAACCTCACGCACGCGCTGCTGCCCCATTTCCGCTCCCTCCCGCCAAAGACCTGCGCGATCGTGAACATCAGCTCGCAAGGCGCGATACTGAACCTCGCCGGCGCCGGGATCTACTGCGCGAGTAAGGCTGCGCTGGACTCGGTCACGGCGGTGTGGGCAAAGGAGCTGCAGCCGTGGGGCGTGCGATGTACCGCGATCCACGTAAGTCCCTTCACTGCTCCTTCCTCCCTCGAAGGTCTGCGGTTCTCAAAGAAAGCTCATTCCAGCTCGGCGGCTTCCGGACAGCAGTGGGCACTAGCGCGAACGTGAAGACTGGATCGCGCACGATTGAGGGGTACGACGCGGCACACGACTGGATGGAGAGTTTCCGCGCTGGCGCCGGGAAGGAGCCGGGAGACCCGGTACTTGCTGCGAGGAAGATCATCGACTTGATTGGGGGTGACAAGGGGAGGGAGTGGCCGCACACGTTGGCATTGGGTGACGATGCATATCAGAATGACAAGGCTTTCTACGAGAGCTCGTTGAAGAAGGTGGAGGATTGGAAGGAGTTCTCGAAAGGGACAGATTTTCAGACTTGAAGTTTCTTGGAAGATTCTCAATGTACAATAGAGCGTTGGGTTAGAGAGTTGTCAATGTACATGGTAGTAGGTCGAGGAGAAATGATCCGATCATGGGATGTGCCGGGTGTTCGCCGTCAGTCACTAGCTTGCCACTCCTGTTTCTCTGCCACCACATCACGTACCGACCTACACCTGTACAAGCTTCAGACAATGCTACCAGCTCCGCCACTTATCACCCCCATCGTCCGAGCGAGCAGATGAAGCAAGAGCTGATACCTGTAACAATGTCGTGATTGAGTGCAGGTGGCATGCGAAGAGCCCAGCGCGTGTCAGCGAACTCCCGAAGCGTATAAATGCGCCTGCAACCGGAAACACAATGACTACGCAAATTTGTCGCGCATGGCACGCACGCTGAAGTCCCCTCGAGGGCTGTTGAAGACACACCGGGAGTCGGATTCAAACAACCAGGAGTCATAGTCTGCTGTCCCTTGGAGCACGGATGCGATGTGCGTCGAATCTCGCAGCTCTGCATTGTCTATACTGAACGAAGCACAGCGACAACCTGCGTGACCATTTCTGCAGACCCTGAGAACGATTGGCCACTGGTGCCACTCCAAGGAACTCTGAAACCATTTTCAGCAGCACAGAGAGCATCCGTCGTCCGAGAGTCACTTGGCCTTGGCTGTTTTCGCATGGACCTGAATAACGATGTTGTTAAGGAAGCCAATACCCACTCCGCCGTGGTCCCAGCAAACACGCAGTCGATTCACCGTTCATCATTCGTCCCCCGCCGCTCTAAGCGTCTGAAGCAGGCGATGATCAATCCTCAACCTATCGGAGAGTCCGAGGGATGTGCAGAGCCTAAATCCAAGAGCGATCGGCCATCATCCACAGATACTTTCAAATCGCAACGTGCAGTGGAGCCGCAAGACTCCTCGATCCGTGAGCCGTCGCATCCCCTTACGCGTGCAGCACGGCTCTGATACCCACATAAGTAGTCCAGGATATCGACACCAGTTCTACCGCCGTCCCAGGCGCAACGGCCGCTGCCACCGCATCTTTCTCTACCCTCCGTTCTACGCGTCGCAAGCAGACGGTGCGCACGCACGAATCGGACGACAAGTCCGACGGCGTCGAGGACGACGACGAATACGCGGAGCCCACTCCCCTGTCTCATTGCGCAAAGTCAAAGCCGTCACTGCTCCAAGTGCAGGCGATGAGGAAGATTCATTCGAGTCCAGTTACGAGATGCGATGTCTCTCTCCTTTGCATGTCTGAATCGGCACATCTGCTCCGTCCATCGGGAGAGCCAGGCTGGTCTGAGGTGTTACGTTTGCGGGAGAACCGTCTCGAAAACGGATGCTGCCATACGGCATCTGCGCAACAAGCACAGGGTGAGATGCTGAGGTGATGCTGAGGGGAGAGAACATTTTGCTGCCGTAAGTATACTGGATTCCATCCATCCATCGGGCATGCGTGAAATACCCGAGTGGGTGGCGCATACTATGTTAAATCCCCACTGTTTGCTTTGAAAACTATATCCGTACGATATCAAGTACCCCCTACTGTGCAGCAGCAGTATGAGGATGACTTCTACTTAACAGCCCCGTGAGAATATTCGCCCAAACAGAGATGGACGTTTGACGTGATAGGTACTTGTCAATCGCAAACGATGGCTGCTGCCTCTGAAGTCGTCCGACAAGATGCTACCAGTGATTCCCGCGCGTCTTGTGTCTCGCTCTCACCATGTTTAGACTTCCCACTGAAATACTCCACGACATTCTCCTGTTTCTGGACGATGCGGAGCTGTGGACCATTCGACAGGTCTCAAGCCTTGTCCTTCCCGATGCATCGCTGCTGTATCTGCGACGCGCCGGCGTCGATATCCAGACCGTAAGCACGACTGCCGTGCTGAGAGTCAACTTGAAGCAGATCCATCTCTCGCTCATGGTGTCGCGCTTCGCACGAGTCACGCACCTCGTTCTCACCCCATGCCTCTCCCGGACGATCATCCTCAGCCACACGCTCACTCCGCTCATGGCCCAACTCCCCTATTCCCTCACCAAGCTCACACTCGATGGAACGCATCTCGAAATGTTCGTTCCCGATAAGTGGGGTCGGCACCACCAAGAGAGCGCACAGATCTTCCAGCTAGTCGGAGCAATGGCCAAGCACCCTGACCCCGCATCACTGCCTCTGATGGTCCGCGACGGCACTCGGGCCTCCATCGTCTCAAGGCGTCGGGTGGGCCCCGTCTTATCGGGTGTGGCCTTCCCTGACGGCTCGGGACTCCTCCACGGCTCGATACGTGCCCCACCGCCAGCCCCGCCGGAAGCAGGCTGGTGCTTGGTCCCTCTTCTGTGGCTGGCTTGGGCCTTCTACTGGATGGTGCAGGGCATACTCTGGGTCTTGTGCGCGCTTGTCTTCCTGGCGGAGGCCGCGTACTGGGTCGCATGTGTGCTACTGGTAGATGTGACGCGTGCTGCGTTTCGGACGGTTTTCCGCATCCCATCGGATGACGCAAAGCGCCTTCAGGCGGACATTCCGTTCAACTACAAGCTCAAGTGGACAGGCTTCGAGCTTGTTGCTGGCAAGGATGCATCGCTCACGGTGCTGGCTCACAGATCCGAGCTTTGGTGACGGCTGCCGCTGGCTGTCCGCTGGCTGTCCGCTGGCAACTCGATCCGGGCATTGGCGTGTCATCAGACCTCGTTGGCCGGCGACAGCTGTACTCGTGGAATATGCAAGGCTGTAGATAAGCATGATTACGGACAAACGATACAGCTGCCATTCTAGATCTTTCCGGCAAGTGGTACCTCAACGAACCCGAAAACCCCCTGCGACACTGCACCCAGACGAATTACTTTGTCAGCGCCCTCTTTGATATCCGCATCCTCCAGTCCGCTGAACGTCTCCGTCATTCCGCCGACGGAGGCAGCCGCAATCAGCGAGGCGGGGCTCTTCGGGTCGAACTTGCGGTGGTAGCCGCCGCGCCAATCCGTGATGAGCGTCTGGAGGGCGAGGACGATGCTGATGAGCGCGAAGAACGCGGTGGGGATGAGGATGAGGAACCCTGTAGGCGAGTACTCCCAGCCCATTGTGGCTGTCGTGGCATTTCCACGTATTGGGCGCACGATGTCGTCGGCAACGATCGGGAAGCGGGTTGGATCGGTGTTGTTTCCGCTGGCGAGATATATCTTGGATGCCTAGACAATATAGAACGCGTGGTTAGATTTAGGGATATCCAACAACGAGGACCAACCGTTGCGACGAATTCAATCATCCCTGTAATGTATGCTTCCTGTTAGAATGAGTTCAAGAAGCTGGGTGCAGTCCGATCGCAACACACACACACCCAGATCTTTTCATACGGAACCGTACTGTTCGGATTGGCTTGATTTGTGTATATCGATTGCACGGCATCGGCCACGGAGTTGCGGGTCTCAGTCTGTCCATACAAAAAGGCCCACGCGAGGGCATTGACAAGCGAATAGCTTATATTCGCGCTGGTGGAGACCGGGGGGTCTGCGGAGTGGTCAAATTTCGTCCAAATGTACCCAGGGCTTTCATAGAGTGTTGCCGTCGTTTGTATTTGAGGTGAAATGTCGCATACAATCGTAGAATAAGGCCAGGCATACGTTCCCTGGCCCGTCAGAATCGTCGCTGGTGAACGAGAATGATAAGAGCTTTGATCGATAATGATGTTAGTGGATGAACATACTATAATTTTCTGACAACGACCCTTCTTTCCCACAGAAGAGGGCAGAAAAGACGTTTCCAGAGGTCGAAAGAGTCACTGTGGTGCATATAGTCTGTAATGGCCGAAACTCGACGGACTTGACCCACCGGTTTCGATTGTCCCACCGTCACATGAACTTGAAACATTGGTTATAGAATAGTTGTATACCGAGCCCCCGATGGTGAGTGGGAACGGTTGAGTGACCACCGAAAGCGACGGAGTCGAAGTCGAACTCAGGATCTCAGACCGGCAGGACACGGCGCCGGAAACACCCTGTTGCTCCATAGTCATGTTCAGGGCGGTCCAGAAGGGCGGCAACGGTTCGGTGTTGTACATCACCCCAGTCGCACCCTCAATCCCGCTCTCCAAGTCGGGGTTGAATCGTAACCCCATCGGTTGTATCCCGCCTGATCTTCTGAGATCAGCAAGCGTGGAGAACAGACGACCAACTCAACTGGTCGAGCTCAAAAACGTGTAGAACTGGTAGTCGATCATACTCGGGTATCCGACCCGGCCCAGCGCGCTCATTGAGCCGCTCATGTCGACAAGAGAGAGGAGGGCAGATTCCACTGATAATGAACCTGAGTTTGATAGTACGGTGCGATCAGACGGTTGGTTCGTACCGTAAAAGACCAAAGTCTTCTCCCACACTTGCACAAATTCGGCCTGCAAAGTGGGACTGCTCAGATCGATCTCTCTCCCGAATATCGGAGTGGAGACGATGATATTCGTTGGCGTCAGGAGTGCGTTCCAACTGGGTATCGAGGTCAGACTCGGGGTACGACACTGGGGAAGTGGAGGGGCAGTATTGGTTGGCGTACCCTGCCGTCTGGCCGATACCCGCAAAGAAAACCACGATCATGAAGATCGTCCACCAGCCCTTGAAGGCAAGACTAAGAGATTGAGCGGAAACCGTCAGTGCATTCTCGAGCGACGAGATCTTCAGTCCCTTGCTCGGGAGCGAGAGTTGCGCAACGAGGGTATGTTGGATTGATCGCGCAAAGAGGCTGGTGTAAGTTCAGAAGCGCTCAGAACAGAGATGAGTTATGGACGCACAAGGATGATATCGCTGCAAGTGCAGTCGAAATCAGCGTCACCAGATAAGTTCTTGTAAGGTGATTGTCCATGACGGGCTTGAGCCCCAGCGGCAAGGGAACTTGGCCGGACTTCTGGACCAGGAAGAAGAAGCTGAACGCGAAAGCGAGCAGGATGGACTGCCCCGCGATGACGATCAAGGGCCAAAGGAGCACTCTGACCGTGCAAGCTGGCATCAGATAGCACACCGGATGCGGATAGTCGTCTTTCGCACCTGCTCTGGCCATCCAACCGTCCGGTTCCATCTCGCGTGGTGGGATGTCGCTGATTGAACTCCTTGTTGCTCTCCTTTTGAGCGGAGGGGATGAGGGGGTAGGATTCCATGAGAGCGTGTGAGTCTCACGTCGAGTCGGTGTGTTTTTATGACTCCGGTAAGTTCCGGTGTTGCACCCCCTTGAATAACCGTATCATCATGGTTCTAAGCGCCCAAACTTGCGCTGTTGTCCAATTTTAACGATGGGACACGGGGATTACTGTAGTCTGGTAGACGAGGGCGTGTAATAGAAGGCAACAGAAGAAGAAAAATCAGCTGCTAAGAGTAGGAGACTGGAAAGCAAAGCTTTGCCGCACCGCTGACCGTTGGAAGGTTCGCGCGTTGGCAGGATGAATGTTGCCTCGGCCCAGAGCCGCCATCAGTGTACTGATACCCATCAATCTCTGGCAACATCGATCTCCTCCGCACTGCAGCTGCACGGAAGCCGCGAGGCAGAAAGTAATTAGAAACTCAAAGCTATCACGTACCCGTAAGTGATCGGCGGCTCTGGATGAGAGATATATAATATAGAGAGACTGGTAAGCGAATGACAACACGCTGCATGCTGTCGCGGCTTTAGACAGGAAAAATGAGCTTCGTCCGATCTGTCACAGTCACGTGATCGCGATGCGCTGGCTGGGCGCTCCGTCCGATCTGTCACAGTCACGTGATCGCGATGCGCTGGCTGGGCGCTCCGTCCGAACTCTTCCTTCACACGCTGATGAGTCAGAACACGAGCCTCAAGCGGACATCCGTGTTTCAAATGAGGGAGAGAATCTAGTATGACCTTTTCATTGCCTCGCCCATTTCGATCGACTGTTACGGTACAGCGAGAAGTTCTAGCCACGAGACCAGCACACGCGATGGGCAAGTCCTGATCCCCGCTGACACCGCAAGGCTTGTTGGTGCATCGTACAGGTTGAAATGCTGCATGTGCCTCTGATGAAACATCTCATCCTCTTAACATCCAACCGCGGGGCTGTGCGTGGAAGTGTTGGACAACTGAACTGAGATCATCAACCTCGCAGCTTGCCATAGGATACAATCAGCAGCATGAGCACTGTACATAGCATACAGCGCAAGCCCAGGCCGGATAACTTCATTCGCGACTTGCACGAAAGCCCTCCACTTTTATGGCAGACCATGGGTGGCGGCCTCTTCGCAATAAATCGAGTGAGGGATGATCTGCCGGGATTCCCCTGAAATCATTGTCAATGCTGAGTTCGGACGAGACGTAAAGTCAACTCCTTGAAGATACTTCTCGTGAACAGAGCACGATGCGCAAATACAGAAGCGGAGCCACTGCGTCCCCGAACGCGAATTCGTTCCATGGACGTCAGCCTCGTCCGGTGCACACCTGCGGAGACAAAGGCAAATAGAACGCATGATGCGAGCCTACCAGAAGGAATACATTCTACACAGCGCGTGGCGCAGGGCTGCTGAACGGATATATCGCTACGGAAGGTCGACAGCGTCGAGCGAGAGGATTCTTACGGAACAGAAGAGGCAATCCCATGTAAGGCCGCACTCCGTGGTTCACTAAACATATGAGAAGAAAAGGTATTATAATTGATTGCAGGATACGTCTCGATGTACAAAAGAAAGTGGTATTGTCTCAGTTCACATTGTAATCCCCAAAGCCCAAAATTTAGTAAACTCCGCCAGAGAGCTGAAATCGCCATCAGATAAAGCCGGCACGGGGAAGATCAGACCGACCTTGGCCTTGTCCATGGTGAGGATGTGGCCCTTGCCAGCGGCGGTGATGTCGAGACCAGAGAAGTCCCAGGTGCCGGTGCAGGCGCCACAGTCGATCACAAGGCCGTAGGCGTTGCTGGTGCCGGCCACCGTGGTCTTTCCACCCGAGAACGCGACACCCGAGATCGGTCCTCCGGTTCCGGGCGTGCCGGCGTTGGCGGGGTAGCTCTGGGTGATCAGGACACCGTACGAGGTGATGCCCGACAGCTTGTTTCTGAGGGGGGAGGGGTTCAGATCGCAGTGCAGCGGGCGAAGGACGACTCGGGCGAAGTGACTCACCCATCGTAGAGGGCACCAGCAACCTTGGCGCCAGTCGCCGACGCCTGAACTTTGATGCGGATGCCGTACAAGCTGTTGGTGACAGTGTTGCGCAGCGCCTTGAAGTTGGTGACGCTCTTGCCGGTGGCCATCGAGCCGATGGAGATTCCGTGGCCGTTGGCGCAGCTGTTGTCCTCGAACACGACGTTGTCTCCGGAGTTGAGGGCGAGGCAGTCGTCCTGGTTCATGACGGTACATGAAGAGATGGTGACGTCACTGGCGCTAACGTCGAAGGCGTCGGTGTTGTGACCGCCCTTCGTGTCGCCCAACGCTAAGGATCGGGAAAATTGAGTACGTCGAACAGACCTGCGAATAAAGAGGAACGCACAGTTGTCGACGGTGACGTGGGAAATAGTGGTCGCGCCGCCGGTGGTGCCGACGGAGATGGCTTGGGCGGGGGAGTTCAAGACAGTGAACTGTTGGAAAGTTCCGTAGCCCTTGACTCTGCGTGGCAGTGTAAAGAGATGAAGAGAATTGAGATGGAAAGTGTACGCACTTGATGAAAGGGTGGGGCTTGAAGGTACCGCCGTTACTGCCCTTTCCGTCCCAGTAAGATGCACCGTTTCCCTGAAAGCGGGTCAATATCGGAGGATGGCTTCCTCGAGCTCAAATGAACGTACATCGATCTTGTGGCCCCCACCGTTGAAGGCGACCGCGTCGGTATTCAGAATGAACAGAGGACCCGGAGCTGAGAATTGAGAGTCAATTACGAGCTGCAGAACCCAGAAATCCCGTACTCGTCGTCTTCGCGAAAACGACATCGCCGGCCAACGTCACAGTCGCGCCCTTGGCGGCCTGCAGCGCCCGTTAGATCGAGGAGCACGAAGTGATTTCGGCGCAGGACATACGGAAATGGTGAGCGTGTTGCCCGCCGGGACAGTGAAGCCCTGGATGACGACGCTCGTGCAGCTGGCCAAGTTCGCGGCGCTGGCAACGCTGTTGACCGTGCAGGCGGCGGCGCGTTTGTCGTTCTCGACGAGAGTCAGGTTGCCCGGGAGGGCAAGTGCAGCGCCAACAAGGGCAGAGAGTTGAAGGAAGCTGGTGATGGAAGGCATTGGAGTAGAGGAGACGAGAGAACTGAACTGAGGATACTGGATAGCCTGTAGTGGTTTTATATCTTATTTTCATGCACCGACGTGCCGGCAATGAGCACCAGGTCGTCGACAACTCGACTGCTGCTACCAGTCATGGTGTGTCTGTAGATTGAGTCCGAACAGGGGGCACAGTAACTCGGCCTATTTCGCCAAGAGAGGTCCGCGGGTGATGCCGTCAGCCCAGGTGATCGCTCATTTAATTCAGATGGAGCGATCACCGCCGCGTCCTGCCGTGGATGCATCTTTGGTCGGATCCATTGAAGTGAGGGTTACGGAGCATCAAGAGTCGAGCCGGTACTCGACCCAAATATTTCATCAACATAACTTCAGCAAGGCCATTGCACCACATCAGCCCATTGTCTCAAACCCCTTCTCGTTCTAGCTGTCGGCGCAGTCTCGGTTACCGCTGCCCCCGAATTTCAGTTGCCATGAGACTGCTTGTCGAGGATGCCGGTTGCTACCCACGCGTCAAAAGCGCTTCTTTTGATCGGCAGATACCGAAATTCGGTCTGAAATTGATTATGCAAGCTGAAAATGAAAATGAAAATACGCGGCACAGGTTACCTGAGTTGTATTGGCGCTTGTCCTTTTGCCTTGGAAGATGAACCTGTCGAAAACCTTCCGATGGGTTTAGAAAGACGACTGACTGCCTGTCCTCATCCTCTTCGTTGACTGCCGGTCTAGAACGAGCGGGGGTCGGGGGCAGAACTCGGTCTAAGCATGAACGAGAATTCTGGGGCCGCTTTGTTTGAGCTGACGAGAGGAGACGTGCCTCAGGCGCCGCACAGCGCACCGGCGTATCGGGAGAAAGACGGCGAGATGGATACGCCCCGCCCTCATACGAGCCCTAACTTGTAACCGATTAGACTTTACCGCTCCTTCATCTGAACACTTGTACCGAATCCTCCTGCTAGCTCACTCCAATCTTGGTTGCCCAAACCTCTGGGCGTCTGCCCGGCGCAGGCTGATGAATTGTGAAACGTTCGAGTCAGCAGAGTTACATCCCGCCTTTCCGTCTCTGGTCAAACAGGTCTGACTCCAAGAAGCTTGTTTGCGGGTCGGGAGATGAACAACGGACACTGCTCCGATGATGTTATGCACATTGTAATCATTCAGCTCCGTAACAATTCAGCTCGCACATATGTTTCAAGACCGACAGAGGCCGGCCGACCATCTTGATCTTGTTCTCGAGACCGGTCGAGAGGCCCAGACACTGCTGATCTTCTTCATGTGCTATGCTTGCCTGAAGGGTTCATGCGTTTTTTTGTAGGCAGTTATCAAGAAAACTCGCTGCTGATGTGTTTTCACAATTCCCGAATGCCGTTGAGCGTGGGGTAACAGGCCAAAATGCCATAATCCAGTCGACGAAAGAGGAGGAGGAGATGGTGGTCCGTGTGGTAATTGCTGCGCTCTTTCATCTCGCACCTCTCAAATTAGCATGGCGAATTACGGATCCTCATCTTCCCTTCTAGAGGACAAACGCGTCCCTCACAACACTGAAAACCGCCGCCCACAGACTCGTCTCGTGAGGAAAGTGCTGCGCATCGATGCGGAGAAAATCTGGAAAAATCCCGCTCGGATTGTCACCACCCGCGTGTGCGAGTGTCAGCGAATTGATTCAATGAGTAGGTCCATTTCATTAACTTATTTTGGGAGATGAAATTCCAGCCTAGACTCCGTGTGAACGGCCACGGGACCGAATTCGCGCCACAACATTCAAACAGCCGAATTACCGGAGCCTTTGCCTCCTTCCTCGGAGCCTCTGTTCCAGCCCTGCGTTGGAGCCATCTTTCCTGGTCAGCTGTATGGAAGACACGGCTGGGAAGCCGACTGGTTGGAAAATCTCCGGCAGCTTGGGGATGGTCCTCCTTTCAGAGCAAACCCGGAATCAATCGAAACCAGTCGACTTGCGCCTCCGAGAAAGTCAGTTCAGCTCTGCCGGCAAAATAAATCATGTCTTTCATAGACTCTCGGTACCTTCCGATCAAAAGAAGCGCTTTTGACGCGCGGGTAGTAACGGACATCTCGACAAAGGATCTCATGGCAACTGAGATGCGGAGGGAGCGTTAGCTGGCCCGCCGTTTTCGGGCGTTCAAAGCTTTGGGGTGGTGGGACGAAGTGAATATAGATGGGAGAAATGGCCAGGTTCGTGCCGTCCGATCTTCTTACACTGTCAATCACTCACTACGATGGACTAAACAAAGGATTCGTCCACCCACGAGGCGGCGGCTGGCGGCGGTCATCGCTATGTCTGATACGAATTAGGATCACACGGCCTTTCTGTCCGAGCTGACGGCATCACTGGCACGGTGCATGCACCCGCGGACCTCTCTTGGCGAAATCGATCAATCTACTGCGCCTCAGATTCGGACTCAGTGTACTACACAACATGGCTGCAAGCACCGTTCGAGTCGTCGGCGATTCGCCTGTCGGTGCCGGTCTGGGGCTAGATCGAGGCTGGATATAAAATCACCACAGGCCATCCTGTATCCTCAGTTCAATTCTCTTGTTATCTCTACTCCAATGCCTTCCATCACCAGCTTCGTTCAGCTCTCTGCCCTTGTTGGCGCTGCACTTGCCCTCCCGGGCAACCTGACTCTCGTCGAGAACGACAAACGCGCCGCCGCATGCACGGTCAACAGCGTTGCCAGCGCCGCGAACTTGGGCAGCTGCACCAGCGTCATCATCCAGGGCTTCACTGTCCCAGCGGGCAACACGCTCACCATTTCCGTATGTCCTGCGCCGAAATCACTTCGTGCTCCTCGATCTAACGGGCGCTACAGGCCGCCAAGGGCGCGACTGTGACGTTGGCCGGCGATGTCGTTTTCGCGAAGACGACGAGTACGGGATTTCTGGATTCTGCAGCTCGTAATTGACTCTTACTTCTCAGCTCCGGGTCCCCTGTTCATCATGGACACTGACAATGTCGTCTTCAACGGCGGAAGCCACAAAATCGACGTATGCGCAGCTGCGATGAACCAGACGTCGGACGCTCATTTCTGATCCATTGTTAGGGTAACGGCGCGTCTTATTGGGATGGGCAGGGCATCAACGGCGGAGCCTTCAAGCCCCATCCGTTGATCAGGTGAGTGCGCATCCCGCCTGGATTTCATGGATGTCTCAACACTGCTGCTCAGACTCAAGGGCTACGGAACTTTCCAACAGTTCACTGTCTTGAACACCCCTGCCCAGGCCATCTCCGTCAGCACCACCGGCGGTGCGACCACCGTCTCACATGTTACCATCGACAACTGTAAGCGGCCTTCACTGTGCGGGTCTGCTCGACTTTCTCACTTTCCCGATCATCAGCTTTGGGCGACACGAAGGGCGGACACAACACCGATGCGTTCGATGTCAGCGCCGACGATGTTACGATCTCCTCGTGCACTGTCATGAACCAGGACGACTGTCTCGCCCTCAACACCGGAGACAATGTCGTGTTCGAGGACAACAGCTGCGCCAATGGCCACGGTATCTCTATCGGCTCGATGGCCACCGGCAAGAGCGTCACCAACTTCAAGGCGCTGCGCAACACTGTCACCAACAGCTTGTACGGCATCCGCATCAAAGTTCAGGCGTCGGCGACTGGCGCCAAGGTCGCTGGTGCGCTCTACGACGGGTACGTGGCATGCTTCTCTGCTCGCTGGGCTTTCGTGTAAATGCTCCCCTCAGAAACAAGCTGTCGGGCATCACCTCGTACGGTGTCCTGATCACCCAGAGCTACCCTGCCAACGCCGGCACGCCCGGAACCGGAGGACCGATCTCGGGTGTCGCGTTCACGGGTGGAAAGACCACGGTGGCCGGCACCAGCAACGCCTACGGCCTCGTGATCGACTGTGGCGCCTGCACCGGCACCTGGGACTTCTCCGGTCTCGACATTACCGCCGCTGGCAAGGGCCACATTCTCACCATGGACAAGGCTACGGTCAGTTTCCTCCGCTATGCTCTTCTTTCCACCGTTGTATCTGATGGCGTTTTCAGCTTTCTGGCGGAGTTTACTAAATTTTGGGCTTTGAGGATTCCGATGTTAATGGGGACCAACATGACATTCGTGTATAATATCGACACCTATCGTGTAGTATAATATAATTTCTTTTCCTTTCAAGTATTCTGTGGACGAGCAGCGCATGCTTTCAATGGGAATTCCTGTTCTTCTTCCGCACCAAGGATCCCGTCGCTGGCTCATTCATTTCAGATGGAGCGATCGCCGCCGCGTCCTGCCGTGGATGAATCTTTGGTCGGATTCATTGAAGTGAGGGTTACGCCGGACACCAAGACCGGGTGATCATAATGTGCATCAGATATAGCGACGACCGCCGCCTCGCGCGTGGATGAATACTGGGTCTAGTTTATCGTGGTGAGTGACTCACAGTGTAAGGAGACTGGATGGCACAAATCTGGGTATTTTTCGAAGCTGATTTTGCTCCATCGTACCAGCCCACCACTTCCAAAGCCCCCAAACACATGTCCCGACTACCGCTGCCCCCGCATTCCAGTTTGCTGTGAGATCCTTGGTCGAGACGTCCGTTGCTACCCGCGCGTCAAAAGCGCTTCTTTGATCGGCAGATTCCGAGAGTCCATGAACGAGATGATTTATGTTACCAGCGGAGCTGAACTGACTTTTCAGCCACGCAGGTCGCTTGGACTTGATTGACGCCAGGTTTTCGTCTTGAAGGAAACATCTTCTCCAAACCTCCGGACGTCTCTGAACCAGTCGGTTTACCACCCGTGTCTTCCATACGCCGACTAAGAAAGATGGCTGCAACGAAGGGCTGGAAACGAGGCTCCGAGGAAAGTGGCAAAGGCTCCGGGGATTCGGCTGTTGAGTCTCGGAGCGTGTATTCGGTCCCGTGGCCGTTCACACGGAGTCTAGGCTCGACGTCTCTCTCCCCGAAATAAGATAACAAAATGGTACTACTAATTGAAGTAATTAGATGACATTTGCGCACGCGGGTGGTGAGGATCTGAGCGGGATTTCTCCAGCTTTTTTCCGCATCAATGCGCACCACCTTCTTCGCGACGTTGGTCTTTCTTTGAGGGACGGTAAGCAGTGTCGTGAGGGATGCGTTTGTCCTCTCGAAGGGAAGATCAAGATCCGTAAATTGCCATGCTGATTCGAGAGGTGCGAGATGAAAGAGCGCAGCAATTACCACACGGACCACTATCTCCTCTTCTTTTGTCGACGAGATTATGACAGTTTGGCCTGTTACTCAAAGCTCAACGGCATTCGTGAATTGTGAAAATACATCAGCACCGAGTTTTCTCGATAACTGCCTACAAAACAGTGCATACACCCTTCGGCCAAGAAAGCACATGAAGAATCTCAGCAGTGTCAAGGCGTCTCGTGCGGTCTCGCGAAGAAGACCAAGGTGGTCTACCGGATCCTGTCGGCCCAACACATACGTGCGAGCTGAATTAATTCCAACGTCCATAACATCATCGGACCAGTGTCCGTTGCTCATCTCCCGACCCGCATCGAGCCAAGTCAGCTGAATGCCCTCAGACTTTTGTGTACTTTTGCTGACAACAATTTACAACTCGTCGGATGACCCCAAATGGTCGGGCAGACGCCAGGTAGTTTGCACAACAAAGATTGGATTGAGCTAGTGAGAGGATTCGGTACAAGTGTCCAAAGGAGGGAGTGGTAGGTCTACTAATAGATTACAGTCAGGGCTCATACAATGGCGGGGCGCTTTCACTATCAGCCCTGGCCCGGGGTTGCATCTCGCCGTCTTTCTCCCGATACGCTGGCGCGCTGTGTAGCGCCTGAGGCGCATCGCCTCGTGTAAGCTGGAACAGAGCCGCCGCGGACTTTTCGTTCATGCTTGGACCGAGATTTGCCCCTGCCCCTGCCCCTGACCCCGCTCGTTCAGTCCTGGCAGCCGACGAAGAGGATGAAGCCTCTGCCGCTGCTGAGGACGACGACTGTGAGAAGGGATGGATGCCAACCAACGAGGGCCGGGTCCAGCCATACCCCAAACTCGGCGTCGGCGGAACCAGCCCGCAGGACGCTGCCGACGATCCCGAGGGCGAGTTGGGCGTCTGCGGCAGCGGGGACAGCGGTGCCGGGGACAGTGGCGGTAGCGAGAATGCCGGCGTCACAGGACTCGGTGATCCGGGCTCAGCGACCAGGACGTGCCCGTTGGCCAGCGGAGACCGCAGACGTGTTACTGCTTGGGGAGGCGGCGAGATGAGCGGAGTCGCGCTCGAAGGGGAGCGAAGCCCCGAGTACTGGGCCGGAGGGCGTGGGTACTTCTGCGGGGAACTGGGGCGGTGAACGGGCGCTACGGCTCGGGGAGCGGTATCGGACGCCCAGCTCGAGGGCGGGGTGTATTGCCTTGGCGCAGCCTGCTTCGGGGTGCTGCGTCCCCATTCGACGGAAGCCTGCTCCCATTTCCGACGCTGTTTCTCTCGCCGCCGCCGTCGCAGACACGTCGACATGAACACAATGAACAGTGTCAGCATGGCAGCGGAGAAGATCCCCACGATGAGGATCATGCGCTTTGTGCTGGCGGATAGCCCCGACTGCCCAGGCGATCCCGGGGCTGGGCTCGTCGTTGACGGCATGGGGGCTGATACCAAACTCGTAATGCCGTAGTCAGTACCGACGTTGACCGGCGCATAAGCAAGGACGGGGACAGAGGGAGACGTTAAAGGAGTGGAAGGTGCAGATGAGGATGGGATGAAGACGCCCGCGGTCGCAGCCGCGGTCAGGGATATCATGGACACAGTCCGACTAGCAAGGTTTTCAGGAGCCGCAGGTGAGCTCTTGAGATCGACGCTCGAAGGTGTTGGAGGCGAGGTGCTCGTGGCTTGCGACTTCGAAATCGGGCTAGATGGTGAGCCGGCGGATATGGATGATGCAGCTTGACTGGCACTCCGTGCTCTGGTCGTAGAATGGATAGACGCGGCGCCAGCCGTTGCCAATGAGAGTGTGGAGGAAAGCAAAGCCGATGCGGACGCCGAATGAACATCGGAAGTGAGAGTGCTGGAATGAGCACTCGCAGGCAAGCTCGTGACACTGATGAAAGACAGAGATGTCAGGCCAGAATCTCATGACAGAGAATCCGCTTACATGAGATCAATTGCTTTCGAAACCGCAAGACTCTCCTTGACCGTGTCAGGGACTATCGAGGCCGACGGAGTGGAGACAATCGCGAGAGTGAAATCTCGGGAGGCACTGGGAGGGATTGGTTCGGCGTGCGCCGGGATAGATCCCAGGAGAACAGGTAGAGAGGCGGGGCCGAAATGGATGAGTAGCGACTGAAGTTTCATGATAAGACTTGTGTGTGCTGGAGGGTGCAGAGGCGAATAAGGCGGGGTTATGACCGTTCAAGGCCAAAAAAACAAAAATTAGGAAAGCAATCGAGCGTGAAAAGAACAAAGCGATGCGCGAAAAGGTAAGAGGAGATGAGAAAAGGCACGAGAAAGAAAGAAGGAAGGAGTAGTGGACGCACTGCATTGAGCCCCGCCCAACAGACCACCCACTCCCACTCTGTCCATGTCAATGCATGTCGAACCGTCAAGGGTCAGACGCCATGATACTGATACTCCTACGCTCGAAGTATCACGTCGATCTTGTCGAGTCAAGCTACTGTTTGACGGATACACATGTTCGTTGCGTAGGGCGCAGGCAGGTGGTACGGCGTTTTCGAGCGAGCGAGCTGCAGGGGATGAGTCGAGCAGCGCGCGCCACTAACGCCCGTCGTCAGGTCGGAGTAGCTGCAGCTCTGCATGCCGTGAGCTCGAGCGCGATAGATGATGTCAGACTCGTGGTTGCTGGAGACCTAATGCACGTGATATTGACGTGTTACGAGCAAGTCACACTTTTAGTCTCGTGAGGTGAACGAGCAACGCAACACATTACTGGTGACAGGGAGACACCTATGTGATCTCGTTTGATGATGTCACCCGAGCGGGTGATTTGGCCCATCTATGTCACTGGCTTGGGTGATCTCGCTGAGAGCCAGCAGACCCTATGTCGCAGACCCTATTGTAGTCGTACAGCCACTTCTGTAATAGTGTTCGCGAGATTCCTCTGTCTTTTTTCACTGTCCTTTGCCCGCCGTTTCCATGGTGGGCAGCAAGAATCAGAATGTCATTGACCCGGTCCTTCTGAATCTCAGACATCCCCAAGTCGAGACTTGCGTAGCAAATGGGGAAGCTTCTTCGCACAGCCTCGTTCTGCCGACACGCCCAGTCACTCCTGCCAGCGCAGAGCATGCCCCAATCTCTTCAGCATTGTTGACGTTGAATACGGCTGTCCGGCGCAGCGGCAATGGCGAGATATCCGAGACTGCGTCAGAGTATCGTGCAAGACTGTATGTAGTCACTCAGCTTCCTGCTCATTTCTGACCATTCCTGCAGCAATATGTTGAAGCAAAAGAGGCTGCTTCAAGAGCAATGTCGGAAGTTGGGTGTCAAGTACGCTAAACAGGCTACTTTGACAAAGTTGCGGGACATTCTTGTCACTCACAGGTGCGTCGTCCATTTTAGACTACCCGCAGCTATGTTCTCAACAAAGCAGCTTTCCTCTGTCTCCGCCTCCATCCACTACTTCCTTGCAGACACACCCTTGTCCACAAAAGAAGGCACGCACTTTTTACGATGATACTCAGCAACTCGTCCTCGAGAACGCCCTCGCATCTGGGAGTGAGATTCACTGCCTCGCAGCGCCTGTCGGAAGCCGCGTATCAAGCGCCTGTCCACCTCATTGTGGCGAGCTACATGCTGGCATTCCTCTCTCTGTATCACTCCCACCTGCACCTAAGCGACTGCAACCACCTCGATCAGACACACACGAACAATTGCCTGGAGATGAGCCATGGACAGCTACTTTAACTTCTGCATCCCCTAGAGAGAATGTGGGAGAGGCTGATAGCCTTGTGTTTCGCACCGAAGAAGCTCCTGACAGCGAGCGAGCACTCCTTCACGAGTTTTGCGCAGATCCTGGTGCTGCAGCTCAGCTCCTAGGACAGGACGAAGAAGCTAGCGATGGTGAGGACGAAGATGAAGACGATGAGGAGAGATCACTGGACAGCGCGCAGATGTTTGACAAACATGCAATGGCTGTGCGTGTGGAGGCAAACAAGCGGTTTGAAGCCGGGCGGCGACAGGGCGGGATCCAGGCGCAGAAATCATGTGTCAAGGCTATCGACGTCTGTATTACCTGCTTTTCTATCGATGGATTGGCTGCTGATTGCTGTTTTCAGGAATTCACCGAGTGGGCTTTGAAGTTCAAGAAGATTCACGACAACATCATCAATGAACTTTTCCTCCTCCAGTTCATCAAGTACCATGCTGAACGTGAGAAACGAACTCGTCGTGGTATCCCTATTGCAGATACTCGACTCGGAGCAGTGCGTTCATTCTTTTGTAGTTTCAGTTGCGACTGACTCGTATCCCAGTCCCAATTGAAGAAGTTCTTTTTTGGTGCACTTCGGGTCCGCAAACAGCAGGATGCCAAGAATCCAGTGCTAGCCTCAACGCGACCGGTGACGACTGGGTTGGTCTGGGATACAATCAAGGAGAGGATGAGTGACGCCATCAAGCGAGCGTACAGGTTTGCGTTTTCCATCTGGACATTCTTAGATGACAATCTAACCATTCTCTAGAGGGGAAAATGTTGGCGAAGATGCCCCAGACGTTGTTGCCAACACAATATTGATGGATATCACCGACGATGATCGTGACAGAATCGGCAGAGGGTTTCTTGCTCATCGACATCGTATGTCCACATTGTGTCGCAAATCTGGGACTCAGAATTCTTATCAGTTCGGCTGGCTGTCTTCGGACACCTTGCATGGACTGGACAGAGCGCAACTGGCAATCGTGGTGATGACATTCGCTCGCTGGCACTCTGCGAGATCCAGCCATACGAAATGGCCCATCCTTTGCAAAGCAGGAAGAAGATCTGGTGTCTGCTTGGTCTTCAGAGCCAGGAGAAGGCTGGTAAGCGTGGTATGAAAACGGTACACGTTGCTCTTATGATCTTTGTGTAAGTACTGACACAACGTTGATAGGCTGGCTACCAGACGCGCTCTGCACCAGCTCTGTAAGGGCGTATTTTTGCGCTTTTTACAGAGTTTACTCTTGAACCATTCGGTGTATCGTGTCGCGGGTGACAGTGTTGCGCTCAGTAGGACTTATGGGTCTACTGCCCAGTCGACGACTGTGGATAGTGTCGACGATAGCAAGGCAGTCAGACCACTACTGTGGAACTGGTCTTATGAGTCTACACCAGGCTCAGGGCCATTAGTGACGAACGCTTGGACCGCGACCATTCCCCAAAAAGGGATATGTCGTTGCGTCGACTTCTCAAAAAGGGTCATTCTCTGCAGATGGGAACTTGGGCTGAAGGGCTGAGCAATGCGCGACGTTCTCAATAATAGAACTACTACTGGACAGGACTTGGCGTTACGAGACTTAAACCATCTTGTCGCGGCAACTCCCGGTTTTGAGTTGGACGTTTCCTCAGATCGAGCCACGACGACGACTTGTCACATGTCAGGATCCATTCGATCACGGGACATTGTGGACGCGTCGCGGTGACACTTCCAAGTGTCACGGCGAGTCGCGCTCATACCCAAACACACTAGAAACCGACACGGTTAGATCCGTGAACCGAACCATGTGGGGGACGACTGGCGTGCCTAGGGCCATACGGCTTCTTGGGGCGCCCACGTTGGTCTCACATGCCAAGACATACCCGTTGGCCAATCCAGCACGTCGTATTCCAAAAGTATGACGCGGTGAGTTGGCCCACATCAAAAGTATCATATGGACGATGGGGCGGGGTCCTGATCACTCAGGACCTGTCCGATCGTTCAACTTTTCAATTACCCTAAAAGGCAACCGATCTTAGATAGCGTAGCTACTATGCAGTTGTACAGGACTTTACTAAGCAGCGTCGTAGACAGTATAAGTAGCACGTCGTCTCTTTGTATTAAAAAGCTTTCCCCCGGACTGTGAATCACTCTCATATCAGATTGTTTTGTACAATTTGCGTGCCGCGTGGTTCCACCCTAAGAAGTTCTGCTACCCCTGCCCGGTCGCGACGAGTTGCTCCCTGAGCACTTGTAGCTACTGTGATTTGAGTTTGAGTTTTGAGACATCAGAAAGTCGGATTCGCCGCATCTGGTTTGGTCGCGGCATTTAGTGTCGTCGCCTTTGGGCTTTGTTGAGATCGTTCCACACCTCTAGCTTGGCAGTGCGTCGACTAGTTGTGCTCGGGTTGTTTTGGTCAGTTGGCAGTGCGTCGACTTGAGAACTTTGGTTCCACACTTCTTGCTTGGCAGTGCGTCGACAAGTTGTGCTCGGGTTTTGGACATTGGATATTGGCTGTTAGTTGGCAGTGCGTCGACGCGGCATTTTGGTTCTACTAGTTGGCAGTGCGTCGACTCAGTACTTTTGGTTGTGTCAGTTGGCAGTGCGTCGACTTGACATTTTGGTTTACTAGTTGGCAGTGCGTCGACTCAGTATATTGGTTGTATCAGTTGGCAGTGCGTCGACTTGATATTTGGGTTTTGCGTCGCCATCTGGACGCTGTCGCTACAAGGGATCTTAATACTTCGTATTAAGCTCTGACTTGTTATATTGTTGTTTGTGGATTGGATTAGTGTTGGTTGTGTTCATATAGAAGATATTGGTTGAGATACCATTGTTTGCTATATATAAATTCTTGTCGTCGACTTCGTCTCCGCGACTATTGGATCTGCGTCTATTGAGAGTTGTGATACTGGTGCTCTGTCCACCCCGAAGCCCTCGCATCTTTCACACACTGAGAAGCTGATTACGAGGAGTGTGAACGTGTTTTATATTTGGGTTTACTTTCATAGTAGATTCACTTGTGAGCACGCCCTCAGCATTTCATCTGGAGCCCACCGCGAGGGGCTTCTAAAGTTTCATAAACTTTAAAAATCAATAAACCGGGTTCTTTACCGCGACGTCGGATAGAGACCAAGGGTTTATCCCGCGAAGCAGTTTATTTCGATCCCAAGCTCCTGCGCGACCCCTCGAGGACCAAGCGGAGATTGAGACTGAAGGAAACGCTTCAACTTCAGGACCTTTCGAAAAACCACGAAGGTCTGCTAGACATAAAACACCTTTGTATCTACCACCCTTGCCTTCCAAGGCAAAAGGAAAACAAAGAGTGAATTCGACGTCGAAGCTTCCAGCTTTAGACACAGCTACTTCGAGTTCGACGACAATCAGTCGATCTCAGACTAGCTCACAAACCCTCTCAGAATTGTCAAGTAGCGTCACCGCTACAAACACGAATTCTAACAACATCCCTACTTCCCCTGTGACTTCAGTCGCGACAACTATGGCTCCAAAGACTGGGTTCAAAATCCCTCAACCTTGGGACACAAGTAGACCTATACTTGATGAAAAGGATCCCCTGTCGATTGAGGCATATTTGCGTCACTGCGCGCAGATCGTGGAGGATGGTGGCATCACAGATGTCAAACAGGCAAAAAGCATGTACATCCGTTATTTGCCGTCGCGGCAAGTGATGGACGTATGGGAAGGTCTCGATACCTATTCCGACGACACGAAAACTGTCGCGGAATTCGAGGCCGAAATATTAAAAGGATACCCTGAGGTGTCCAAGCGAAAAACGGGGACCATGGCAGATCTAGACAGGCTCTGTCGCGAGAACCGTGGAATCAAAATCACGGATGAGGGAGATTTGAAGCGTTTCGGCCTTCAAATGTATAGTCACTACAAGCGACTGTCAGTCCCTCCTGCCATTATTACCAACAAAGTCGCGTGTGAACGCTACATGCGTACTTTGGACTCCGAGTTCAGTACCGTCTTGCGAAATGCTTTGGCTACGAGTCAAGTATTCAATAAGCGCTACCAAACTCGCGCCGGGATAGCAAACGCTAATGTCCCCGCGACTGGAGTCAATCGGCAGGACGACCCCATCCAGTTGAAAGAACTAATGACAATGGCGGAAGAAATGGCGTCGACGTTGAGCAACGAAGACGAAATTCCCATAATCGCGCGACCTCCCAAGGTTCGTTTCGACTATGAGACTAGTCCACCCAACCATGCTAAGGTTGAGGAGTTGGAAAACTCGATTTCCAACTTGAAGGATTCATTTCTTCTACACCAAAAAGAGCTACAGACTCAGTTGCAGGAAGCGCTGAAGACGTTCGTACAGACTGCTCGCGAAGCGCCCATACAGCGGTCGCGGCCAGTAGGCAACAACTCTTCTGTGCCCCACTTTGAAAGTCGCGCACAAGGAGGAGCTGCCGCACGGAACGACGACTGTCGCTACTGTGGACAAACTGGTCATTGGTCGAACGAGTGCCCACTCAAGAGGTCTCACATTGAGAAAAACCTTCTCAAAGTCGACACCAAAGGGATGTGGAGGCTCTTCGACGACAGCTTCTTGCCAAATGGAGAAGGGACTCAGGGACAACGAGTAGAGGCTTATTGGAAGAAGAAGGGCAAGTCCGTCAACTTCCAAGACTCTTACTACTTGGATCAGTTCGATAGCCGCGACAATGATGATATGTCCGACTACCCTGAAGAAGTGGCAGACGAGATACGCTCCCTTCGAAGTCAACTCATCCAATATGAGAGGAAGTCGTCGCGGCCAACCCCAGAGAGTCGCGCGGAGTCAAAGACTCAAAGAACTGCATCTGGTTCGACCAGCAATGCAATGGAAAGTGCCATGGGCCAATTCATGCAGAAAGCCATGACCGACGCCATGGCCGGCTACTTCAACAACATGAACAGTGGTTATCCTCAGACTCAGGAGCAGTTCATTCAAACCCGTCGTGGTGCGAATAGCCAACCTGAGCGCGACGATAACAACTCGGGTTTCTAAATGGTTCAAGGAAGAGGGCTAAACCCACAAACTCAGCCAAGCCCTCTGAGGACCATGATAAACGAGCTGAGCGACGAGAGAAACCGAGGAAACCTGTGATTATTGAAGAAGTTAGTGATAGCGACGATGATGAGGAATCAGTGCGCGACAACACCGAAAAGAGAAAGGAACTACCGTTTGAGAAAGTCAAGCCCGTTCTACAAGAACCAGTACATTCTTCAAAAGCGCGCGTTCCAGATAAATACCAGTTGCGTGCACCGATTCAAACGAAGGCTGTAGCAGAAGCAGTCTACGACAAAATGAAAAACGCGTCAGTCGACGTCACTGTGGGTGAACTCCTAGCAGTTTCGGGGACTGTTCGCGACTCCATTCTGAAGGACTCTTCGAAGAAACGAGTACCGGTTCAGAAGTCCATGCTTCAAGAAACTGGTCGCGTCGTTGAAGACGTTTGGGATGGAGAACTGAGCTACAACCTAGTCAGTGCTAAGGAATTGCCCGAGCCTGTGTTCTATCATAACACAGTTGAAGGAGAAATTCCCATTGGCGCAGTTGTCGCGACGGACCCATATGAAATGTACTTGGAGTCGATACCCTCTAATGAGAACCCAAGGCATGTCTATGTTGGTGATTCGTCGGCTGCTCTCAGAACGATAAACGGACGGATTAACGCGCGTCTCGACGCGGACTGCATCCTAGACAGTGGATCTCAGATTGTATCGATGGCTTTCTCAGAAGCCGTCGACGCACAATTAAGCTGGGACCCAAAAGTCGTCATCTATATGGAAAGCGCAAATGGATCTATCTCTAAGTCGCTGGGATTAGCAAGAAATGTACCCTTCAGGTTTGGGACCATCCTGGTCTACCTGCAGGTGCACATTTTGGAAAGTCCAGCTTATAAGGTGTTGCTCGGCAGACCGTTTGATATCGCGACAGAAAGCAATATCAAGAACGCGGCCGACGGCAGCCAAATAATCACTATGCGCGATCCCAATTTAAAGACACGTTGTGCAATGGCTACGCAGCCACGTCGTGCAGACGACTTGCCGCGTAACACCAAAAACAACGACGGATCTACCGAGCCCTACAGTTCGTCGAAGCCGACGACCAGTCCAGACGAACCGAATCCTGAACGGGATTTTCAAAGAGCTTCGAGGA